CTTGAATTTCTACAGCTTCTTCAACAGTAATAGGAACTTTCGAAGAGTCAACAACATTTGAGTCCTCACTATTTGTTTGTTCATACTCTTGAGAAGCTCGAACTATCCATAAATCACTTATTTTTCTCTTGGGCATGATAACTATAATAAACAAACAACACTTTTAGTAAGAAAACAGTTTAATTAATTAATATATTGAAGGACAACATGTTATAAGTTATATTATTATAAATGAATAAATTAAAATATAAAATCTTACTACATTCTTATGTCATATCAATTGTCATAAATATCTTCATCAACATCCTCCCGAACCCATTGAAATTGTGGAGTATTAGTGATAGTTTCATCTAATTTTTGTGCTACAAAAGGTAAAGATTATGATCTTGTTTCAATGTCATCGCTACTTCCATCTCCGATGTCTACCAAGTCTCTGGGGGTATTACGGAGCACAACATACCAACCCTCATCCATTGGATTGTGATAGTAAAAACTTGTTTCAATTGAGAAGAAAATACATATGGCTCATCCATCAATCGTTTATCAGTTTGAATTAATCGAGATAAATTTAACATTGTAAAACTGAATTTATCCCTTTTTATGCCTCGAGTAGTGTTTACATCAACCTAGTCACATTGAAATAACAAAACATTTAATTTTCCGTAATAATCTAACTCAATAATGTCCGTAAGAATTCCATAATAATCTAAATCTCCCTCTGACCCTAGCACTAGCATAACTTTTAGTTTAAGAAGTAACAACTACTCCACAATTTTGTGTCCTCCTTAATCTTTCACGAGATTTCATGTGAAACTTGAACCCATTAATAAGGAAGGCATTATATCTTTTAACAATTCTATTCGAACCTTGAGAAAGTCATTTAACATCTTCACTAGCTTCTCTCCCATTCCAAACCTATTACACATGAATAATGATTAATTTGCATTGACGTCGATATAAAAAAACAAGACTTCTATATTATTTATAACTATGTGGACTGATTTAGTTGTTTACCGTCTCACCTAACCATTCATGAAAAGTTTCTGTGAATAACTTATGTATCTCTTGCTGATGTAATCTTCGGGAGCGTGCACGAGATACTAAGACTTATTTAAACTCACTATAAAGTGTATTATGTCGTTAAAGAATGATAAATATAAAAGATTATGAAATTTCATTAGGATTGAGTCCGTAAAACTTATGTGCTAAAGAGATCTATTGAATCGTGATGGAAAAGAACATATCGGTGTGCTTGTACCCAAGATGTATCATCTAAGTTTGCAATTTCAACTTTCCCGAGTGGTTCACCATAACTTCCTAACAAATAAGTATGAGGTAAGTCATTTGTACTGAACACATTATTTATATTTGGTCTATTCAATCTTGTTTCAACATCTTCCAAAATATCTATAGCAAAATGGCATACATGCCTCTGCCAAATACCCTTCAGCAATTAATCCTTCCGGATAACGCTTATTATGACAGTAAGACTTCAACTTGCATAAGAGCCTATACACAAAACAACGTACTATGCAAATAGGTTTTATGAAAAGGTATAATCACTAGTCATTTAAAACATATAATTCAATTACACCTCTCTATAGGGTACATCCATCGATAGAAAACTGGTCCACCAACTTTTGCTTCGTGAGGAAGATGAATTAGCAGGTGCACCATAATTGTGAAGAATGAAGGTGGAAATATCTTCTCCAAGTTGTATAAATTCAAGGCGGCTCGATCATGTAGTTTCTCAAGTTCTTCAACCATCAGAACTTTCCCACAGATATCTTTCATTATATTATAAAGTTCCATGATACAAGATGTCACCTTACTCGACATGCAACCGCGTACAACTACTGGCAGTAAATCTTGCATTAATATGTGATAATTATGTGACTTTAAAGAATAAAGTCTTTGATATTTAACACTGACACATCGAGATATTTTTGATGCATACCCATCTGGGACCTTTATATCCTTCAACACTGTGCAAAACACTTCTTTTTATTTCTTCGAAAGAGCAAAAGTAGAAGGTGACAAGAAATATTTTCCATTAGGATGTAATTGCGGATGAAGATCATGTCGAATTCTGATGTCAAGTTGACACTTTAGATTATCTTTAGATTTTCCGTTGACATTGAGAATGGTCTCGATAATATTCTCACAAACATTCTTCTGAATATGCATTACATCAAGATTTTGTCTCAAAATGTGATCCTTCCAATAAGTCAACTCGAAGAATATACTCCTCTTTTTCCACAAGTCTACCTCTTTTGGATCATCCTCTTCTTCAGACTCATCATCACTCTGGTGGTCAACATCACAATCCTACACCTTCTTTGCATTTTTCCTTTGATCGTGTATTCAGTGGTTGATTAATCTTTCCATAAGTAAAATTGATATGTTTCAACATGGAGAATATATTAGACTCGGATTTTTGTTCAGTAGCTTTTCGAAACTCTTCAGTACCATCACACATATTCTTTTGACTTCTAAATCTATGATTATCAACTAACCACCGACGATGTCCCATATAATAGAACTTCTTTCAATTAAACAACCAATTCGAACATGTTTGTGCATCACAACAAGGACAAGCATAACGACCTTTGGTACTCCAACCAGATAAATTTGCATACGCTAGAAAATCATTAATTTGCCATAATAAATTCGCGCGTAAATTAAAGTTTTCTTTGTTCAACACATCATATGTTTCAACCCCTTCTCATAACTTTTTCAACTCTTCAATAAGTGGCTGAATATAAATATCAATATCATTTCTAGGACCTTTCTCGCTAGGGATTATCATGGATAAGATAAAATATGATTGTTTCATGCAAATCCACGGAGGCAAATTGTATGGAAAAAGTATAACAGGCCAAGTATTATACGAAGTACTCATGATTTTGAAAGGATTAAACCCATTAGTTGCAAGACCGAGCCTGATATTTCGAGGATCTCTCGCAAAACTTGGAAACTTGTTGTCAAATGACTTCCAAGCTAAAGAATCCGCAGGATGTAGTAATAATTCGTCATCGGTTCTTCCATCATGATGCCACCTCATGGACTCAATAGTCTCGGTGGACATAAAAAGTCTTTGTAGCCTAGGTATGAGAGGAAAATATCGCAGAATCTTTACCGGATTTTTTCTTGATCGTTCTTTATCTTCATCCTCACTCACATTTTCTGAGTCCCTAGTCATCCATCCAGATTTTCCGCATACATGATAAGACTCCTGATTTTTTTTATCACCCCAATACAATATACAATCATTCGGACAACTATGAATTTTCTCATACCCAATTCCTAAATCTTTTATCATTTTCTTCATATTTTTGCAAAAGGAAACATTTCTCCTAAAAACTCAAACAATTGTGAAAAAGAGTTACCAGTCCACCCTCCCAAACATTTTAAGTGGAAAAGACGAATGCAGAAAGACAACTTTGAATATTTTGATCCCTCCTAAAGTTGTTCATTCATTTCATTAAGCAACTTGTAAAACTTTGCCGCTTCTCCATTTGGCTCTTCAACACATCCACTTCTTCCCATCTTTGTGAAATAATTAACATCATCGTCACAATCATTTTCTGTAACAGATTGATGATGATTGTGCATATTAAATGCATCTCGCAACATCCTTCCATGTCATCTTCTCTAACATATCGATGGTGAGAAGTAGCAAGATAAGTCGAATAACTCGTGGAAGAATATCTATCATATATAAACTCTCCATGAAATATCTATTTTCTATACCCATGAACAAATCCAAAAACAACTAGATGCTCGTACACAACTTCACGAATGTGCCAATTAACGTTAGAACACTTCTTACAAAGGCAAAGAATCATATTTTCTTGGCTTGCATTCACAAAAGCTAAATTTAGAAAAGTTTCGACTCCATTTCGATGTCCGTATCTTACCTTGAGAAATCCATCAAACAATTATCCATTTCGTATTTCTAGAATATCAATTTCAAATGTTAATTACTAATATTATAGAGAAAGTTAGAACCTAAGCATAAGCCGAAAGGTGTTTCCAAAATAACACTAGCTGAGTTTTCATTTACATTGTTATTGAAAGGCAACTCATTTCCATTGTCGAAACCAAAACAAACACACAAAGTGAAATTAACTATGAATCATGTATACAACTATGAAATTAAAGTCAAATATCATGGACTTGGACCCACGAACATTGGACATGTTGATAAGTAAGAACTGTTATTGAAGTCGATATATATATGAAGAACCAACTATAAAAGAATCTACGCTGAAACGGGTCTGTTTGTCTCAAACCCTAAATCTGGACTTACCAAAAAATATAATTAAAGTTAAAATAAAGACATACAATAGAACCATAACATCTGAAATAGCATAATAATGTCAACACTTGAAGAAAATCAAAACTTTACGATACCAAAGTTTCCTATCTTAAAGAAACAAAAAATAGATAGTAACTATATTAGCATGATGGCATAATAAATCAGATCGACATTAGATAAATACTGTAATTTCTGTTTTTGTTACACTTAAATCTTGAACTTATTTAACATCTTCTTCTGACTCGACATATTTTCAAGATTTTGTTTGGCTTTAACTTGAGTCACTTAACACCGAATGAATTTCATACTACTCATACATAGGAAGCAGTGATATGCTTGTTAATCTGGACATGAAGATCAAGACAAATAGAAAATTCTAAGGTCATGATACATATCAAAAAGAGAGAAATAAATACTTCAGATATAAACTGACATGAAGATTAGAAAATATGAAGTGTATGATGAACCTGATATTTCTAAAGTCCCAAACCAACGAGTGAGACCACTTTAGCACACTGCACATTGTTAGAAATTTTAACTTTTATATATATTGAACTTATGCAGAAAGGGTACACAAAATTCTCAGATATTGAAAATTAAAGTAATATATAACTTGAAGAATTCAATTTAAAAATTCACACAATGCACACAAATTCTAAGCTTCACTTGTGACGCTCCAAACAGCTTTGAACAGTTTTGTATCAACTTCACAAATGAAAAGTTACAGCAACATTTCAATCAGGTTAGATTTGGTCATCAATTGGTTTGGCCATGATTTTGGTGATATAATAAGACTTATTATTGTATATTGTATATGTATTTGCAGCATGTGTTCAAAATGGAGCAAGAAGAATATAGAAAAGAAGAAATTAATTGGAGCTACATCGAGTTCGTTGATAACCAAGATGTCTTGGACCTAATTGATAAGGTTTATAGCTTGTTTCTCATATGTTCCTTTTGTACCAGCTAATAGACTTGCATCTTTCTTGTTCTGTCATATTGAAATTCTCACTTATTCTGATATGTCATTCTGTTTAATCCAATATATTACAGAAGCCTGGAGGAATAATTGCTCTTTTAGATGAAGCTGGTATGTTGCTTTGGTTAATTCTTGGTTCAAAATTATTACAATACAAGTTTATGCTTGGTTAATTCATTTACTTTGATATACATTTTCATGGATCATATTATTTCATTTGGCTAATCTTTTTGAGTTAATCTTCATTAATGCAGCATGTTCCCCAAGTCTACCCATGAAACTTTTGCCCAGAAGTTGTAGCAGACTTTCAAAAATAATAAGCGTTTCATTAAACCAAAGCTTTCCCGTACTGATTTTACTATATCACACTATGCATGGGAGGTAAACTTTTTTCTTTCTATTATATAGACCTTATCCTTATTGGCTGTAGACGGTTCAAAACTGTTCAAAGATGTTTGGCCAAAACAACACTTCTTGTGAAACATTTATATGCATAAACTCATCTATATTGAAGTCATCCAGAACTTCATCTTCTTCCATACAAATTGAAAATTTTACATTTTCAAAATAATAATATTAATAATACAAAAAAAACCCAGAAATTAAGGGCTTACCTTAAATCAAACAAGCTGAGTTCTTCAGAACAGTTTTGCTGAGTGCGCTAGGGCTGCACTATCTCTCGCTGAACAGGCGAAGGCGTTTTGCTGCGCCTTTGATGATGGTTGCCCAGGGGTGAGATCGGAGTGATGGCTGCCGTTGGTATTTTTTTGTTAAGACAGGTGAATGAAACAATTAGGGATTTGGTGACCGATGGGTTAAATGAATGCACAATCGTGGCGGTTATAATAAAAACACCACTACAGTACATAACTATTGCGGTGTTTATTAGAAAAAAAAACGCCACTAAAGTCCATAACTATTGCGGCGTTTGAACAAAAACGACTCTACAGTACAAATATATAACGACATTTGTTTACAAACGCCACAAAAATATGAGTCTTTTGCGGCGCTTGTAAACAAACACCACTAACGTAAGAGTATTTTTGTGGCGTTTTATCAATAAAATGCCACTAAAAAAGACAATATACAACAAATGTCACCATTATTTATAGTATATCATATTTGGTCATCCATTGGAAAAAAATACACTTGTTTCATTGCAGCAGTGGCGTTTTATCAATAAAATGCCACTAAAAAAGACAATATACAACAAATGTCACCATTATTTATAGTATATCATATTTGGTCATCCATTGGAAAAAAATACACTTGTTTCATTGCAGCATTTGATGGATAAACGCCACTATTTATGAATCCTATTGCGACATTTGTATACAAATGCCACTAAAGTACTTATCTATTGCGGCGTTTGTTGTAACGACGTCGATATATGATACATATTGCGGCGTTTTTATAAAAAACGCCGCTAAAGTACACTGTTGCGGTGTTTGTTTTAAAAATGCCACGTTATATGTTTCCAATTGCAACGTTTGCACAAAAAACGCAGCTATAGTTCTCTCTATTACGGTGTTTGTTGAAAAAACGCCACTATATATGAAACCTATTGCGGATTTTATATACCATTTTGTGGAGTTTTCATTTAAAATGCCGCTATATGTTTAAAGTTAATGACTTTTTCTCTCAAAACGCCGCTGTAGTGTAAAAAAATCCACGTATTCTTCTTCAGCCTAGTCATGTTCACCGAAGTGGCTGCCTCAGCATACGCCTTGGAAAACATTGCATAGATTGAGCTTTCCATCGTGACTTAAGGCACGATTGAGCCTAACTTTGCCTCTAATTTGCCTTCTCCATGGAACCATCTTCTTCCATTGATCTTGATGGATTGAGTAGTCATCTTGTTTGATGACAAGTGGTGTGTTGGCTAGCGACCTTTTTAATTAAGCGTTGAAAAGTGTTTCTCCACCGCCAGTTAACAGCACACCATTTGATAGATGACGATAAACGAATATTAAACTTTTGCAGTAAAATTTATCTTATAATATATATATATACTAGAGAAAGTTTTAATGATTTTTATGTAAAATCAATTTTAGTGAATAGTATGTTGATATGCCAACCTATTTAATGTTATAATTTTGTAACAAGAGCCTAGTTAATCAAACTTTTCAAGGGAGAACTCAATTATTTTTGTAATTATTTTATGAGGACTTTTTAGTACTTGAGCCTAGATTATATTTCCTCCCAATTGAGCAAGCGGGTATCAGAATTCACGTGCTCAACTAGAGTAATTATTTTAAAATAAAACATTAAAAAGAGGTTTATCATCAAACTTTAAATAAACCATTTATCAAATAACCTTTAAATTTTAAATAAAATCATATTTTTATTATTCAACAAAGCTAAATAGATTTTATTTAGAATAAAGGCAAGACATTGCCATATACAAAACATCTTAACACATGGAGGAGACATACATATCACGCCACAATAAAAACAACATAAACACCAATACCATTACTTGAACAAAAGCAACAAGTATTGGTGTATATTATTACCATGAAAAAGCCATCCAGTGGGCGAACACTAACTACTTAAATGGGTTACACACCCCAGCCGTGATAGAACCAAAAGGACCAAAACTGATACCAACGCAATCGTTGTTGCAACATAGAGCATTGGTGACGCAGGGAACACCCGCAGCGAAAAATAAATTAGTTGTGTTATCAGCATCAACGAAGACAGTGTTGGCCAAAGGGTTTCTAATATTGGCATCAGCGACAATCGAGTAGAGCTTAACTTCGTGCCGAGAAGCTGTAACAGTCGGAGCGGTTGCAGCTAAAAGCAACGCAGCCACTGCAACCAAGAGTAAAGCAAACTTGTTGGATTCTATTTCAAGTAGCAATTAAATTGGTAGTGTTTTGATGAATCTATTGTGCACCCAATACCCCTTTATATAGTCAAGGTGATGGGTTCAAATATAACGTGTACCTTTTAATTATTGCAACCACCTCGAGCAAATGTAATAAAGATAAAAGAACCACACATTTAATTAAGACCTATATAAATTTACAATAAATTTACAACCAGACGCGAATCAAGAAAAAATTTATAGGCTGAACTAATATAAACATAATAAAAATTTCATCTAATTAATATATATTCTTAATTTAAAAATATAATAATAATAATTATATATATATATATAGATTAAATTTAGAAAAATATATTAATGGGAGAAATATGATTTTCTTTAACATATTTCATACATATTTTTATTTAGGGTAAATTACCTATTTGTTTACTCACCTATTATTTAATCTATGTTTTGGTCATCAAGTATTATTATTTTTCAAATCATACCTAACATTGTGTTTTGTTCACATGCCATTAAAAAATTAACAATGATACTAATGTGACATTTTTTAATTATTTTTTAATCTTGATGTGACATTATCATATGATGACTCATTAATATCACCATTAATTTTTTAAAGATGAATGACCAAAATATAACCAAAATATAATATTATGTATGATTTAAAATAAATAATAGATAGATAGTCAAAGCAAAAAATTAAATAATAAATTGGTGACTAAATGAGTAATCTACCCTAATTTTTGGCATAGGGTGGGCCATGGCCTAAGTTGGCTTAGGGCCTACATGAGACCAAGTTATAAAATTATCTATTACTAGGATCGTAAAATTATTGTTTTTCAAAACTTCATATTTGTATTTAATAAATTTTAATTTTATAATTTATTTAATGATTTTTTGCCGAATTTATCATTTTATAAAAGTATTATATTTGGTGTCCATCAATCAAGTAAAGAATTTTATTTTCAAGTCCAAGTAACTTTGCTCCCAAATTAGTACCTAAACTTTAATTTCATCCATTATTTCAGTATTTTTATTAACAACGTTAGCTTTTAATGACATAAAAACATAAAATTATATTATATATCAATGATGATGTCTTCATTTAAAAACTATTGAAAAAACTTAAATATAATAAAATGATCAAAATAAATATATTATAAAAATAATCGGCAAGACTTTCCAATTTTTCTCTAATTAACTAGTCTAGCTTTATTAATTTTTTTAATTTTGTTCGAACCTTCAATATATTCTTTATTTTACTACAAAATAACATTTTGGTTATTTTTCTGAGTGTAAAATTATGATATTTCACTCATTTATTATCTGAGATGATGATGATAATAATAATAATAATAATAAAATATTATTATTGAATAGAACGAAACCAATAAATAAAGAATTAAAATAGAGGAACGTGATTTGTTTACTCATATGTAGACACTGGATCAGACGAGTAGAGTAAAATAAATCGAAGAAGGGATTTTGTTAAGGCATGTATGAATAATTTCCTTAAGACAAATTCATCCTCTCCTAGGTTCTTTGAGTAACGTTGAACGTCGGTCTCCCAGGATACAACAACAAACGATCACAAAAGTAAGCACAACTGTAGTGATCAATTGGACACAATCTTATCTTTCTCTATCACTGGAAAGAACGAATTTGAAAGGAGTTTCCTAAGTGTTTCCTAATTCAACGTTGTAAATTGTGTCTCAAGAAGGGACTTATCCTTTTGATAAAATAGCTTAACATTTTTATGAAAGGATTTAATCTTTTAATGAACAAAATTGTTAATAGGTATGATTGAATGGATGCAACTTTAAACCAAAAATTAAGTTCAATCACCATGTGACTTGACTTATTGTTAATTAGTCTTAAATAATATCAATTCATTCAATTATTTTTCCAACAATTTCAATCACCATGTGACTTGACTTATTGTTAATTAGTCTTAAATAATATCAATTCATTCAATTATTTTTCCAACAATCCCCCACTTGAATGAACTTGATGGTTCAAACACTGATTCAATATGGTGATATATTCTACGTTCAATATTTGCATAGGATAGGTAGGTGTCCCCCTTTTAACATTCCCTTGTGAAAATATGTTTACCTTGTTGGCTATCCAGTAGACGTGATGTCCTTAAAATGTCATGTCATTTGTGCAAGCGATGACATACCTCACACAAATATCTCATTGACAAGAATTTGGTTCTCATTGTTATGTCCATATAGTCGTGGACATCTCTTGGCTCTGCAATAGTTTAGAGAACTATGCTCCA